CTCAACCCGACCGCGCCGCTATTCCGCGACGGGGGCACACCCCCTTCCTATGCACTCCCACGCGCACCCGGCACGCCCACTCCTCTCTCTCATTCGCCTCACCAAGCCCCCTCCCCGAACGCCGCCACTGACCACTGGTGCTCGCCATAGCCGCCCACTTCACCCTCATCCCTTGCTCCGCCCCATTCTACAACTGCCTCGAACCCCGCCAAACGCCCGTCCGCCCACCGCCACCACGCCACGCACTGCTATCTACTCTCGCTCTAGGCACGCGCTGACCCGCAGCTCGCTACAGAAATGTACCTCCCACGCACCGACAGGTCCTTCGCTCACGCGCCGTTCTCCCCTCTCACCACTCCCACTTCCCTTCCCTTCACCTCTCAAAGCCCCAATATTTTACCGCCGTTTCCCCGCCACAATTATGCCCCTCCTTACTACCGCCTCGTCTTTCCCCTCCCCACATTGCTGCTCCTACTTCTCACCGCATTCCACTAACGCCTCACTCACTCTCCCGCTTCCGTCCCCCCACCTTCCGTCTGCGTCACGCCAGCCCGCCCCCAAAAACTTATACTCTCCCTGTACGTAAGCCCACTAACCCTTCTGTCGCTCCTCTTTGCCCAGCTTCCGGCTCCGTACCCCGCAGCCCTCATTCCTCTCCCTTCCGCCACCCTCGCATTCACAACCCATGCCCCGCCCCGCCCCCCGCTAAGCAACCTCGCTTCCCCTTCCGCGCTCCCACCACACTCGCCCCATCCAGGCACGCCCTCCCTCTCCTCCACTCCCCTGACTCTGCCTTCGTCCGCGCCAAACCCCAGCCCCGCTCCCGCCCCCGCTTTTCGCGTCACTCGGCGCCCCTTCCTGTCCACGAGGCCGATTCAGCTGCCCGCCCACCCCCCCCGAATTCCGTTCCCGTCGCTTTCGGCCCTGGTGGCGCTCTCTTTCTCGCCCCCCACCCCGTCGCTGCAGTCCCCCAACCGCGCGTCCACCTGCCTGAGACGCTCACAGCCTGCACTCAATCTTCCTGCCGCGGGAAGGCGGATTCGGCAGCGCGGCCTCCTTATTCCCCCCACCTTCCATTCGTCGCTCTAATTTTAGTTCTGAACTTTTTTACATTATGGCGGTACATTCTGAATTTAAAACATGCTTTCTCCTAGCGGTAGGTAGGGTTAGGTATTAACAAAGTTAAACTTTTTTTTAAAATTATATTTATTATTTCATCCGTTATGCTCTTTTTTCTTCCAAAACAGAATATGTTTTGTGACATTATAATTCATTAACCGTTCAACGTTTTTGATGATTCGTTTTTAAGATTGTTACTTCGACTATACTTTGTGGCCTGAACCTAAATTTGAAGATTGATAAGGGACTTTTATATACTTCACCTCGGTTTGAAATAGAACTTAAAAAACCACTGGTGACCCCCTGCTTCTCCCTTGCTTTCCACCTGCTCTATCGGAAGGACAGGGAATCGATTCGCCGGCCATTTCCTCTAGCAACTCTGAGGGGGCACCGCTGGCGCGGAGGTCTCACATGGATTTCCTTATGCTCTTTCTTGCGTTCCTCAGTGTCCTGTCTAAGAAGGCAACTCGGATGTTGCCACGTTTTCTATTGTCTTCGCCCCGGCTCCAGCTTCTTTATTTATCTTCCACTTCTTTGTGGTCCTCATCTCCTCTTTTCATTCACACCCTCTCATCTCTTCCTCCCTTGCTATTTATGAATATTCGGAGAAAGGAGGTGAGTCCTCTAGCCTCCCATTGCTTTGGTTCACCACCATCATACGCCTCTTCTCTTTCTTACTCCTCCAAGCCGATATTGTTTTCACTCCAGCATCAAACAATTCGTCTGTACCTCCACCCCCTCTTATCGCGAAGGGTCAACAGATGCCCTCGCCCAAGTCCCTACTTCAGCCCCCATCTTTCTTGTTTTTCGTCCCACATCCTCTTACCCATTCACCTTGCACTTCCTCCTCGTCGTTATCTCTCCATCTTAACTTCCTTTCCTGAATTTAAAGTCCTACCCCAAATAATGAAGCTCAAACTCGAGGGGCGAGAGAGAACGTCCCAGGATGACGCCAAATGTCCGAGGGGGACATGCGCTATTCTATCTTTCAAAGAAGTGCTTCACAGCGGTTCCGTACAGATAATGAAGCCATGAGCCGCTCACACTATCGTTTGGTAAGGGCCACATTGTATCGTTTGAATTTTCCACCTACTCTCATTAACAAACGACCTTGCGTCACTGAGGTAGGCTGTAAATGACCCAAATCCCTTAAACTCGCCACGGAATTAATCTTTATAATGACGAATCTGCCTATATACATAGTCACGCCTGAAGTGGACGAACAACTTAGGCGGACTGGTGATAACGATTGAAAAATATGAATGACGATAGAGGTACGAAGGCAGGTGAAACGGGTCAACCCCGAGAAAACCTGCCGCGAAACCGTTTTGTCCATCCCAAATTCAAACTGAATCAACAGGATTTGAGCCCCGGTACTCAGAGGCGGAGAGCAACGACCTGATGCTAAACCGAGGTTTGGAGTTTGATACTAGAGTACCGGTTTAGGTGGTTCAGAGCATCAACTGATGTCAATACAGTGCCTTTGACCGGCAGAAAGTAGGCCTCGAGTCTAAAGGTGGCAGGCGTTTTGACACTAGCTAAGTAGCTACATAGCAACGTCGAATTTAGCTGCTGTCTGGAGGAGAATTCTACCGACAGGATGCTAGTTTTCCGTAGTTTCTCTGATCAACACCAGGTACATGCCGGAGTAGAACTCTAACAAACGGGCCAGGGACCGCGCGCGATCTTTCCTTCCTCTCAGTTGTCTTATCCTCATCCGCTCCTTCCACACACTTTCACTTGCACGCGCACCACACGACCACGCGTGCTGGGAGACCAGTCAGGAGCTTACAGCTTATCCCGCCTGGGAGGTGCAGCGCTAGTGGTGGAGGAAAAGCCCGAAGCCCACAGGAAAATCGGCGCCGGATCTCGCCATCAAGCGCGCGAAGACCACCACCACCACCACCTCTCGCGATACAAATATGCACTACGCTTACGGGACCAATTACCTTAGCTAATGACCTTAGCAATAACTTCCCTGCACTCGGTACGGCTAATCATTCATCCAATCAAATCCTATCAGACAACGTCGCGGGTCTCTGCGCAAACTGCGCTGCTTCCACTCGCAATGTCGTCGTCGCTAGCGCAGACGCTCGCAGGCGGAGTTATGCCTTCTGACGCGTTATTGCTCTCCGTAGGACTATTGCAGACGCGTCCACTCCCTTCCACCCCGCCGTTCACACCCCCTCGGCAGCTCCTCTCCACCCCACCCCCAATCCCACGTCGCTCCTACGGGAGCAATACACTGCGACCCCTAACCGCTTCTCACGAGGTTATGAGCAGCATACTGGCTCCTTCAGGAGAAGGGCGTCGAGCGGAGAAACCTTTTGGGCAGAAGGAAGGATCCCAATGGGGCGATCTGATATATTAAAACGATTCAAATTAAAATATGAGCCGTTTTAATGCGAAGCGTTAAGTGGTTATTTGTACGTAAATACGGTAATGGATCCGGAGAATTTCAGAGTTCGGCCAGGGGGACACTTACTGCACTCTGTTATATGTCCTTAATCTGGTGTATCCTTCTCGACCTGAAATAGTGGCCACACGTACGATGTCGTGCTTTTCAGTAACCATATTTTGCAGGGTAGATAAGTTTTTTGACAATGACTAGTCAAGTAACTCTTGGACTCACGGACTTGAACTCATTGCTTCCGTAAAGGAATTACATGTTATTGTGTGTCTTCAAGATGTTTTTCTGAAACACCATGTATGTATGCACTGCCGCATACCGACGAGAGGTCAATGATGGACTGGGGCGAAGTTGTATTGCTACTCCGTTTAGAAGAGGGGTTACTTTTTGATCGTGTAAAACTTTTATTATTGGACTTTTTCTTTACACCTAACGATAGTTTCGTATTTACACTCTTATATAATGCTTACAAAAAAAAAAATGAAATCTCCGACGCGCGTAATTTTCGACGAAACTCCGTGGATCTATTCAAAAGAATATCGTCGCAGTACAAACAAATCGAAATCGTTCTCGGACTACCTATATATAAAGTTACACTTTAAATCATTTTACTTTTAATTTATACATGTGAAAATTGTTGAACTTGATCCCACAATTAAAAGTACATCTGGATAGCCTTGTCGCAGTTCTCATCTTGGAAATAATTAAAAGGTAAATTACCTTCTATGTCTAAATAGTTAAATTCTCCTGGGATCAATACATAACAGGCCAACTTTATATACATTGAACTACATATCACAAAGTAGGTGCAAAGGGAATTTCTGGAACCACTAGTAAAACTACTCCTACTTTTACAGAGGAAATATTGCGGTTTGATGATATTTACCTGATACAAATCGCATATCCCATCTGCAGGCAGATATATAAAAGTAATTAAGAGTAAAATTGCTTCCCGTTTTATACACCTGCCGGGTGTGGAGGTTGGGTTCGTATAAGTAAATTAATAGTACCTTAGATGTTAAACTTTTATTTAAATTCTAAATTCAAATAAGTAAATTAAAGGGATTAAACCTACCTAATGAATTAGAGTTTTACCTTATGAGTCACCGCCGATGGGAAAGTGGACAGGAACTTACCTGTAAAAAAGAAATGTTATTATAAATTTATGAGCAATATAATTTTAACAATAAATGTACGTATATTTCCATCTAATTTTTTTCTGAGCAGTTAAAAAGTTGTTGTAACCATGATCACATTGATCAAATATTTTAATGTTTTTATTCTTCATAGAAAATAATCAATAACGTCTATATGTATGTGCAATTAACTGTCTGCAGGACAAACATACCTCAGCCATTACTGTAAATACTAATGATTATCAAATGTGTTTCCAATCACTTACGTTGTTAATATAACCAGAAAGAGCGTTTGTGTTCTAATAAACAACCCTAAAATTATAAACAAAAAATTTAGAAAAGTAACACTTGAAAACGAAAAACAATAAAAAATGGCAAAGTAGTGGATAAAGGTATAAAGCAGCCCAAGAAAAGCAACACGAAGATACGGTGATATGATTAAACTAAGGAACTTGGCTTTTGTCTTAAACAACAAAAACACCTTTCCAAAGAAAACTGAATTTTTCAATATCGAAACATGTAAATTTGAATCGAGAATTGAACCGAAGAATGCCGATTGCATTCCAATCTGTTCAGTTAAATTACTGTGATTAACTGACCCGATTATGTTGTTATAGATTTCCCTACAAAACTTGGAAATAAAACTTATTATAAAGTTAACAAATAAAAGTAGACCGGCATAATTAAACAATATATGCTTGTCAATAAACAGAAGAAATTAAAATGTTTGAGGACCGCAGGAATAAATGACTTTGCATCGAACTATAACAGAAAAGTGCGAGAAGTTTTCTCGAGAGAAGGGAAATTTCAATCAACGCAGTATCACTTTAACCTCTCTAGCAAGCGTTTAGTGCTCGTAAGCGAAAGTACACCTACACGAAACCGCGCAAAGCAATGAAAAATATGCCTTCGTTAACCGGGAATGGTGGAATGAGTTTGCATAATCTCTGACCCTGTACGCGTACGCGATATAGTGACCGAGTATGTGTTTTAGCAAAATGGAGATCAGAGCCGGTGCCTTCACTCGATGCGTAACATTCGACGAAAAAATATGTTACGACTCGCTGAAAAACGTTTGAAAGACAAGCAGAGGTTAACTTAAATTATTGAAGTAACATTAAATATAATTGGATTCTCCCAACAAAGGGTGTTCGGCATAAGGACGTTTAACAATTTATTCCCTAGAGACAATGTATTTCAAATTTAATGTTATGTAATAACAGCTATCAAGAACGCTGAGCAATGAATTAACGAGTCACGCTTTCAGCAAAATTTACATGAAATTTGTCTGAATATTTTACATCTTTAAAGGAATGTGTTATTATCTTCAAATTTTTGAAGACTTAATCTGACATTGATATTCCTTCCAGGGCGGCAGAATTAAATTATCATCGCTAAAAGTAATGAATCTTTACTATACCCGGAAAAATGTACTTGTTGGAAACACATGCTATTGTTTTCATACAATTTTTCAAATAAATACAAAATTATTCTTGTCATATGTGACAAAGCATTAGGATAACATTATTTCAAACTGAATGGCTTGCGTGGCAAATTCCTATTCTGCCAAAAATGTATTTAATAACATTAGAGATAACTGTGAGCCTGTATAAATAACGAATGATATAAACGCCCTTAAATAATTTGATTGATACTTGTCGTAGTTAATTTACAGCTAAATGACGATTTTCATTTTTCATTTTCATCTATGAAACTTGTAAAATCCATCTCAGACTGAGTTTCTCTTTGCGATATCTTTTTGTAATTAACTATTGTGTCATTGCGTAAAAAATTAAGCATATCTAGCCTGCAATAAAATTTGTAGTCGATTTGTAAGAGGCAAAATCCTGTTTATAACATGTACGGAAACTATAAAAATAAGTGTAGTAATAATTCTTTAAAAGGTATGGTATAGTAGCATTTTTTCACAGAATGTTTGAAAATTTTCTCTTTCTTTCAGTTTGAGCGTTAACCGAAAACACATAGAGGAGAAGAAAAACCTCATGAGAAAAGTACGTGATCGCGTTAACTGAGTTGACGCTTGCTCATCCATTATTCATTAATAACGCAACTACCACTGATTCCCTCGAAAACAAGACAGACCGCGCGTCTTTTCAAAACGATGTTTGATGACCAGCTTCCTTTGAGAATTTTGATGTGTGGGGGAATTTAGGAGGATCTCGGAAGCCATTACGGTCCTGTGAAGAGACAACATCACACCGCACAATGAAACGGACATTCTTCCACGACATGAAATACACCCCCAAACCACACACTCAGTCTTTTAGAAATACTTTTGTGATCTAGATTTTCTCTTTAGAACACTTTTTAACAGAACACTTTTTCTACACTTCGATGAGTGTAGATATCCAAAAAATCATATAGAAAAAAGTAACTACAAATTAAATTATAATTCAAACAGTATTATTTGTTAGGAATTTTTTATTTTGAAATTTCTCACAGATTTAGCAAAAGTTGAATATTCATAAAAGAGGAGAACCATTTAATAGAAGATTAAAGAGATTTAGAAAAAAACATTGGAGGGTTTTTCAGAAAACATTGCAATTCAGAATATTGAGGTTGTTGGACGTTAGACAATTAAACTATTTAAAATTGTGTCATATTTCAGCCAATTTATAGCGACAATTAAGATTGTAAAGATGTATTCCAATCTAAAATACGTTACATTGTTCGTGTAACATTACGACCTCGTACACTTTAATGCGTGTGATGTGACTTGGCAAGGCGTTACGTATTTGTAAATCTACACACTCGCCGCCGCGTGGAAAGGCTTGGCTGCCTCTCCCCTCCGCCGACCGAGCTCATCGGTGGCGCAGCGCGTTCTGGCAGCCAGCGGGCAGGATACGCGCCGCCGGTAATCTGCGCTTTCTGCGATCTTGCAACGCCGCCGATTATCGCCCACTCCCCGCCCCTCCCAGACCCGCCCTCTACGGACTTGTCGCTTCCCCCGCCTCACCCGTAGCACTCGCGCGCCGCCCGCACCATTACTCCCTGCCCCGGCAACGCCCCTCCCCTTAACACTCTGGCCCGACCTTACCTCAACCTTACCCCATCCCTCCCCCGGCTACCTCCAGCCACGTACCGCCTCATCACGCCTCTGCATCACCACGCCAGCCCCGCCAAGCCCCGCCAAGCCCCGCCCTGCCAGCCACGCCCGCTTACGCCCACGTCCCATCCGCACGATGTCGCTACACTCCGCCAAGTCACGTTTGCCACGCCCCGTCACCGCCACGGCCTCCCTCGCCCCGCCACCGCTTCACTTCGCCACACCTCGCCACGCCTCGCCACGCCTCCCCACGCCTCGCAAGCCTCGCCCACGCCAAGTCACGCCCTGCAAACGCCCCACCCCGCCCCCGGCATTCCCGTGCCACCGCCCACCATACTATCGCCGGTTTACCTCACGCGCTCGTCACGCCCCGCCACGCTTCGCCACCATCGGCCTCGCCCCACCGCGCCACGTGCCACGTCTCGCCACACCCCCGCCTCGTCTCGCCGAGCCCTACACAGCCCCACCCCGAGCTCCTCCGGCCCCGCCCCACCCCGCCACCCGCCATCCCCGCTTCATTCTATGGGTTCCCTCACTCCGCCTTACTACTCGCCATCGCCCCGCACGCACCTGTTCCCCGCACTCCTCAACGTATCGCGTCGAACCAGCGAGCCCGGGGCCCGCTCCAACACGCGACTCCGCACCCCCTCGCCCCGGAATCGCTCAGGCGATTCAAGAAAGCGGCACGCCGCGCGCGCCGCTTCCAATAGCATTAGCGGCGCGGGGAGCGGGCGACGGGCGGCTTGGCTCACGTAGCTCACACTTTCGCACAGATTGCCTCCGTCGATACAATGCGGATAACTTCATCCCGGGCTGAGCGTCATTGTTTCTTCTCCGCCGGGCGCCCCGCCCCTGCCTTCCCCCCGCCACCGGCCTCTCGCACCCACCTTCATACTAGCAATCTGCCCCACTCTTTTCCCCCTCTACCGCGCCGCCTTTTTACAACTTCCGATCGCTCTCGTGTCTCCTACACTTTGGGTTTTTATTGCGTTAGCGTGCGAGGCATTGTCTTCACGATGGAATATCACACGATTATTCGCGTCTCTCTCATGGTGTGCGCTCGATGTCGGATGATTGTGGACCTTCTTGATTAGTGCTGACTATCATGCGACATCTAGCGGCATTGACCGAGAGAAAGACGCGAAATCGTTGAGCGACGAGGCCCCGCCGCCAACAAATAAAAATCCAATTATACGTTCCCCCGTGAGGCGATGCCTTTGCGCTTCTGCGCCCCCGCCATCTTCGCCTCATTTGCTACCCTTGTATCAGCACGTCTCCGTTATTCTGCTCGCATATCTGTCCCTATTCTCGAGAGAGCCTCACGAACGCCTCTTCTCTCCCATATCCACGTGTTACTTTGTCACGATCTCTATTATTCCCGCGTTCGATATCTTAAATTTCACCGGCCTACCACAAGTTTCTGTTTGCGGCTCATATTATTCCTGCTTAGCCTAACGCCACCCGAACCGTGGTGTAGGTCCTCGCAATTTTGTACCGGCTCATCTTGCTCATTTTTATCTCTCTCAACCTTTTTGCTCACATGATTTCCACTCCCCTCTGTCCTCCCTCACACGCTTCCAGTATTTTCAAGCGTCCCATTTCTTACTTGTGCGCTCTTTCTCATCCTCCGTTCTCTTCAATTAGCACCCACCGACATTCTATGGTGTCCCTCCCCTTACCCCACCATTTCCAATCCCTAATGATTTTTTCTAATGTTCACAGCCCCCTCTCTCTCGTAGTTCACTCACTCTTCCCCTCCGTCCCGATCCTTTCTTTGCCACTTTACGTGCCCATTGACATCGTTCTCCCCTTTTTTCTTTTTTCTTTTCCCCTCCCTTTCCATCAGCGTCTCTACGCTTTCTTATCTGCTTTATCCTTTTCCCCGTCATTACCCTTTCCCCTCCACTCTTAGCCCTTTCCTCTCCCTTTCTTTCCCACCTTCCCTTTTCCGATCCCCATATTTCCCTCCCCCTACACCGCGACACCAGTGCTCATCATTCCGCTCCGTCCTCTCTCGTGCGCACGTCCCCTCGAGAGCGTGCGAGGGCGGCCGCGCCGTTGCGTCGCCGGCCACAGGCATTCCACCCACTCCCGTTCGCCCACCCTCGTGCCCGGCCGCGACCCACCAGGTTAAATTGGTCTCAGAATGACGTC